CCAACTCCCACTCTGAAGGGGTCTGACTTACTACTGGCAAAGCGAACCAAACTCTCGAACCGCTTGTGTAGAGACTGAATTAGGGATGTCCCGATCAGGTAGTATCGGTAGCAGATATGGCCATTTTTTGAAAATCAGGTAGAATCGGATTTAGTCATGTGATTGGGCCGATCCAGTTTTCGTAATAGTTTTCAGCATCATCATGCTTTACAACTGCCGTTAAGAAGTCGAGATGGACACAAGTATGCAATCATGTCCACAGTGTTGGACCACTTTTCAATGGAAAACGATGCTGAAACTGCATCTTGCAAAACCTGCGAACTTGATGTTTCTTGTGGTGGGAACAGCAGGGCTCACTTTAATACTACCATCCTTGTCACTTGGAAAGAAATAAAGCTATTGGACCGGTATCGGAAAGACTAATCATTAAAAAAAAATCACATTGTATCGGGAGATATAAAAATCTGGATCAGGACATCCTTAGACTGAATGGCCCATAACAACTGACCCACAATCCCATACTCGCGTAGCACCTTCCACAGTGTACCTTGAGGAACAAGGTCAAACACCTTCTCCAAGTCCACAAAGCATGTAAAATGGATTAGCAAATTCCCATGACCCCTCAATGACCCTAGTGAGGGTAAAGAGTTGGTCCAGTGTTCCACAGCCAGGACGGAACCCACATTGTTCCTCCAGAATCTGAAGTTCGACTATCGGTCGACTTTACTGGGGAGGCCAAAGAGAGTTATGCCCCTGCAATTGGAGCACACCCTCTGGTCCCCCTTTTTAAATAGAGGAACCACCACCCCAGTCTGTCAATCCAGTGGCACTGCCCCCGATGTCCACACAATGTTGCAAAGGTGTGTCCATCCAGGACAGCCCCACAACAGCCTGAGCCTTGAGGAAATCAGAGAGTCTCATCCACCTCTGGAGCCCTGTTGCCATGGAGCTTTATAATTACCTCAGTTCCAGTTATAGACAGACCAGCCCCAAAGTCCTCAGATTCTGCTTCCTCCATAGAAGACGTGCCGGTAGGATTGAGAAGGTCCGAGAAGTATAACTTCTACCTCACGATGACGTCCCTGGTTGAGGTCAACAGCACCCTACCTTCACTGAGCATAGTGTTAGTAAAGTGCTGCTTCCCCCGGTGGATGGTTTGCCAGAATCTCCTCAGAGCCGATCGAGAGTCTTTGTCCATGGCTTACCAAACTCCTCCCACATCTAAAGGGTTCCTCTGCCAGGTGTTCTCAGCAAACCTTCACTACACGCTTGTGTCTGCCAGGTCTGTCCGGCATCTTCCTCGCCATCTGATTTAACTCATTACCAGGTGGTGATCAGTTGACAGCTCAGCTACTCTCTTCACCCAAGTGTCCAAAACATGCGGCCGCAGATCAGATGACAACTACAAAGCCAATCATCGATCTGCGACCTAAGGTGCCCTGGTGCCACGTGCACCTATGGACACCCTTATATTCGAACATCGTGTTCATGATGGACAAACTGACTAGCACAGAATTCCAACAACAGAATACCGCTTGGGTTCAGATCAGAGAGGCCGTTCCTCGTAATCACATCTCTCTAGGTCATACTGTCATTACCCACATGGACATTGAAGTCCCCCAGCAGAATAGAGGAATTCCCAGTTGGAGCACCATCCAGCACCCCTGCTAAGGACTCCAAGAAGGCTGAGTACTCTGAACTATCATTTGATACATAAGCACAAATAATTATCAGAGCCCGTCCCCCCACCCGAAGGCACAGTGAAGCTACACTCTTACAGTCCTGCTCACCATTACTGGCACCCCTTCATGATTTGCATAGCTGAGTGAATATCTTCAGAAATAAATGGAAATGTTCAAAACTTATATCAACAGGATCTTTCAATTTCAGGTCCAAAGTAATTTAACAAAGACAATTACCATTTCAACATAAATATTTTAATTCCAAAGGACAAAACAGAAAACCAGCATGTGCACTAATATTGACACCCCTCTTAATATTTGGTTGCGCAGCCTTTGGCAGCAATGACAGCCTCCAAACGTTTCTAATATTCATCTATAAGCTTCTTGCACATCTCGGGTGGCATTTTCTCCCACACTTCTTTTGCAATATGCTCAAGCTCTTGTAAATTTGCAGGGTTCCTTTCGCCAATGGCAGATTTCAGCTCCACCCAAAGATTTTCAATTGGATTGAGATCAGGACTCATTGCTGGCCATTTTAAAACAGTCCATTTTTTCCCTTTCAACCAGGCCTGTGTGCTTTTGGAGGTGTGCTTTGGGTCGTTGTCTTGCTGGAGGACTCAGGACCTTCGCCGCAAACCAAGTTTCCTTACACTGGGAAAGACATTTCGCTCTAGAATTGCTTGATAATCTTCTGATTTCATGATGCCTGTGATACGGTCAAGGCCTCCAGTACCAGATGCTGCAAAGCAGCCCCACAGCCTTATGGATCCTCCACCATGCTTGACTGTTGGTATGGTGTTCTTTTCTTTAAAAGGATTCATTGCGCTGTCTGTAAACATATCGTCTGTGTGAATTACCGAAAAGCTCCACTTTTGTTTCATCCGTCCATAAAACGTTGTCCCAGAAGGATTGAGGTTTGTCCAGGTTCTCTTTTGCAAAGATCAAACGTTCTTTTTTATGTCTTTTCTTCAGCAATGGAGTCTTCCTTGGCCTCGCCCATAAAGCCCCACTTTGTTTAGTGTGCGGCGTATGGTACTTGTTGAAACAATCACACCAGACTGCTCCAGGTTGGTCTTTAGGTCTTTAGATGTTAGACGTGGTGTTTTTTTCCACCATTCGCACCAACCGTCGAAGACTTCTGTCATCAATTTTTCTCTTTCCCCACGTCCAGGGAGGTTCTTGACCGTTCCATGCCTGGAAAACTTTTTAATAGCATTACGCACCGCTGAAACAGGGAAACCAAGGTCTTTGGAGATGGCTTTATACCCTTTGGAGGTCTTGTGTTTGCAACTAATAGCATTTCTGATGTCCTCAGACAGCTCCTTTGTCTCTACCATTGTCACATGCGGAGATGAACTAACAGGTGGCTTTTAAAGCACCAACATGATCATTCATTGGTTAATTCATGTCACATGTGTGGAGGCAGTCCATCACAAGTGATCTTTATGTGATTTGCAACAGGTGAGCCAAATTGGGTTTTCATATTGATTTGCAGCAAAGGGTGCCAATACCATTGGCATGGTAAAAATTATGTTTTTCTTTGTTTTCCTCATAATGTTTATCTTTTTAAATGTTTTTGATCATTTGATGTTTTGCATCAAGCACAAGCTATCAGCAGTAAAATGTTGTTTCACTTGATGAATTTCCTTCAGTAAATATTCCATTATATGTACTTAAACTTCATGGGTGCCAACAATGGTGAGCAGGACTGTATCTACCGGGGTAAACTCCCACACACAGGCACCAAGTCAGGGGGCCAAAAGTAGACCCACACAAGCTCAGCACTTCTCACCATGGGCAACTCCAGAGTAGAATAAAGTCCAGCCCCTCTCGAGGAGATCGGTTCCGGAGCCCATGCTGTGCGTTGAGGTGAGCCCAACTATATCCAGCTGGTACCCCTCAACCTCACGCACAAGCTCAGGCTCCTTCCCCACCAGAGAGGTGACATTCCATGTCCCAAGAGCCAGTTTTGGTAGGCCAGGGTCAGAGCACCAAGGTCCCTGCCTTTGGCTACCGCCCATGGCAACCTATGTTTCTTACATTTTTCTTTTATTTTTTTAGATTAAGTAGAGGGAAAAAATATGGAATCAATACAAATTTTAAAAAAAACTTGCATCAAATTAAATCTGCCAATTTTACTTCAGTGAAAAATAGAGTGCTTACACCATGGATTGATATGAATCATGGGTTCAACAATAGACGGCAGGGGTTTAGAAAGTAATCCACCAAGAAATGTTGCAAAAGTTGTTGGTTGTTCCCAGTCAGCTGTGTCTAAAATCTGGACTAAGTACAAACAAAGGGAAGATTGTAATAGGGTAAAATAATGGTAGACCAAGGAAGACATCCAAACAAGAAACAAATGGGCGAATTCTGGAGTTAGTCTGTGACATAATTTTAAGAAAAAAAACTAAAAGAAATTTGATTCACAAACAGAAAAGTCAAAACAAAAGCAACCAGTAACACATAAACAGAAAATAACAAGTGGGCTGAATAAAAGCAATCGTGGCCTGTGGCTGACTGGATTAAAGTGTCATGTCATAAAGAAATGGGAGAGATGGAAGTCAGTAAACCTTCAATAAATGCCAACATCCACATTGTCCTTTAAGATACTGTTCTTCCACCATCAGTTGAGAGGAAGTCTGGTGAGGATAGCTTAATTTTTCAAGATAATACGTCTTGCTAAAGGGCAAAGGATGTGAAACGCTTTCTTCAAGAAGGCAATTTTAATGGCATGACGTGCAGTCTGGTTCTCCAGTCTGTTAAAAATCTTTGGTGGAAATTGAAGAAAATTATTAATTACAAAGCTCAACCTGCAAAACTGATTTAACAGCAGCAAGAGCCTTTTAGAGCCAAACTGATAGAGTTCTGATTGTCATTAGTTAGGTCCAAGCCTCAGAGAGTTCAAGACGTTATAAAAGCCAGAGGAGATGAAACAAAGTAATAATGGTGCAGTACTTTTAATCAAGATTCAGTTACGTTTTTTTTCTTAGAACCGAGTGATTTCATAATCTCTTCTCAGTCTTAAAAAATACTAACTACCTAACAATTATGTCCATTTTTATTGTTACTTAATGGCAGATTTTTTAATTTATTTACTTATTTATTTGTGTGTGTGTGTGTG